AAAAACATGATTCATGTTGCTGATCCCAAATAATTGGATTAAGACTTAGATTATGATGAACTTGAAACCTATTAAAAATGAATCCTTTGATGTTATGTTGTGGCAACTCGCATCAGGCCAATCTTTGCTCAGAGATCATTCTCACTCGATATTCAAGTTGTGCAGTTCTATCAGTGAATTAGGCAATTTTATTCCTCAAATCATCGATCTGAAGCAGAGGATGTCCGATCCAATACCGGACTTCGGGTTTTTAGACCCTGGCACTGGGATCTGCTTTTTTGAATCCTATAGTGAAAAACGTCTTATTCTTTCTTGAACAAGTATCATGAAGTCCGTGTTAATTGTTGCAAAAGCAATGAAATGGTTTCTTAAAATGAAAAACATAATAAAAAGGATTCTAGAGTCCTATTCACATGGGAAAACAGGGATCGAATATTATTATTAGCTTGACGTTAGTTAAACTAACATGACTGGTATTTAAGGAGAGGATGTAAAAAAATGGGTAACTGGAATAAAGCTGCTTCACAGTAAGGAAAATGTTTTGATAGAGCTAGAGCACTATCGAAATAAATAAAGCGTCACCTCAAAACTTAAGAAAACTTTCAATTCTTGTGTTAGAAAAACTTTCGAATTGATCATCTTGGCCTTGACCATTATATTTGTGAAAAAAAATATAATTTCAAACCCTAAAAATAATATATGTTGTAACACACTATCTAGACAATCTATTTTGCCTTAAAAATAAATACATTATCTAGACCATCCATTTCGCCCTAAAAATAAATGTTCACATACATGCAAGATCTATAGCATTTTTTAAACTTCAAATTTCATAGCCAGTGATGAAAATTGATTCTAGAGCCTGAAGATTTCCGATGCCCACAGTACTTCCAACGCTTTGTTTTCATAAAGTCTAGGCCTTGTAGAAACTGCACCCAAAACTAAATCATTACATCCACAATCACCCCCATTATCCTCAAGCTTTCCTCTTTCCTAATGATGCTAAGCCTAAAACCAGATCACAGAAAGCTTCCAAAATAAAATATAAGTGAAGAATCCTTGGGGAGAGAGAGAAGGGGAGAGAGGCCAAAACAATTTCAATATTAAGCCCCGAATTTGCACCTTGATAATGCTCTTTGTCTTCCAAGCCAAGGGTTATCTAGAAAAATATCATTCATAGGTTTATAGATCCCAAATTCTATCTTCTATAATTCTTCCATATTCATTCACTCTTCACTCTCATACTCAGTCTCTCTATGAAACAAAATATGGGCTTATGAAGCCAAAACTTGCCACATGAAAAGAATTTCATATTAGTAGATCACTTGTACATGGAATGGTAATAAATGTCACTTGCTATTTACCCACCGCATTTTCTCTTGAAGCTTCAGATTCAGCTCTTCTTCAGTGGGCAGTTTCTCATTGCTTCTCACGGTGGCATCCCACCATGCCATTAGCTCATCCTGGTGAAACACAGTGAAACAATTTCAGCTTTTGCAAAGCTAAGACTTGGTTAAATACGCTTCACATGGAGTATCGAGCTAATTATCAGATCAAATCGTGGAACAACAATTTATGGACCCTTTTTCTTTCTTTTGAATAATGACTTGGGACCTGCTGAGAATGGAACACTAGATGACATGTTTCGAAAAAAATGTTTAAATGTTTAATACTACAGACTTGAAAATTTGATACTATTCCTTGTAAAAGCATTGGATTAGATATTTCTTTAATTATGAGTGCTTGCTAGATTGCAAACCAAGTTGATAACTCTAACATGAGATGATGAGTGATTCAAAATAATTAATTTCAGCACATTGAAGTAAATGTTTTGATTTGAATCCATCGATGCTATGTGTTTCACTTTGCTTGCAAGGACATGGCCGACATATTTACCTCAGTAAAATCTTGGTTGGAGATAAAAGGGCAATTAATTAAGCATTTGAAGCCCCCTAAATTTACAGAAACAGAGATTCCAGAACCATCAGAGGAGGATCCCTCTTGACTTGATCCTGTAGGAGAAAAGAACAATGGACAGGGAAACAAAAGAATCAAAAGAACATACCAATAATAAGGTACAAGAAACAAGGGGAGATTATACTCTCAGTAAATGGACTATGGAAAGCCAGAACACATTGTGTCATCACCATCCATTGAAAAGGACAAGGGTAGAGAAAGTGGGCTTGTCAGAAATAGCACATGACCTCAAATGGTAGGTTCTAGTTTCTCTCCATGCTCCATCATTTCAATGTACCATGATGATCCAACAGATCATGGTTCTTCCATAGCTGTGGGTATAGCTTATTGTCCAAAAGACATATTGAAAATGATAATTTAAGATGACAATTAGGGATAACTGATATACCAGCAATGCAAGCTGCACGATAACCTGTTCCCCCAAGCCCTTCTTCCCACTTCCCAAACTTTACCCGCAGGAAATATCCTTCCATTTGAAAGTTCAGGTCTGGAGCTTTTGTCCACCTAGGAGATGCCAAATGGAGCCAAGACGAGATGAATAAGGCTAAGTGTTAGCAAAACATAACGTTTCTAATGAAATATGACATACATAAATTATTCTAACACAAATATCTAACTAAGATAAACAGTTCCAATACAAGGTGACACAAATTACTCTAGCACAGGAATTTATTTTGCGAACAGAAAGAAAAGCATAACCACTCAAGAAGATTTTTCATCCAACTGCATCCCATTTAATCAAATATTCATGTGAAAAAGAACCCACATGCAGTGACACGGTTTGTACTTTGTGATTACAAAAATAATGAACAAGAATGCAACAATATTACACCATGCACGATCAATGTTAGACAGTAGAAATAAAAAACACACTATGAATCATAAACATATTTGTGGTAATGCATTAGATGATCCAAACAACATTTAAAAATGTAATAAGGAATAGCAGAAGAAATTTAACTTGAGGAAAGCCACAGTTACATACATACAGACGTAATTGATAATAGATTGCTTCAGAGCTTCGCATTAATTTTTTATTGATCTGATAGTACAGGAATGGTGATGTTACAATTTTGTGGTGAATATCTACGATAAGATAACCAAGATTTATAAAGACTAGAACTATCAAATATAATGCTCGCAGATTTATTCATTTTATTGTTTTTCCTCTGGGTCTTTGTGGGAACAGATGCTATGCTTCTTGATGGCTCACAACAACCTCCACTGAAGAGAACATACATGGATTAACAAAAGAGCAAGGTTGCATATTGCATGTGCTTGTGTCCCAATTAAAGAAACAGAGCTACAAACTAATCATAGATTTGCAAATCAAATGTCAACTCTCAAGGAACCACACTCAGAAATTACATTTTTCTCTTAATGGTGATGAAACAAGAAAAAATGTCAATGCTACCTGAGGATGTCAGAGCGTGACAGACGAATCATCCTTATTTTCTCAAGCATTCCTCTGCGGACATCTGAAAATCTCATGTTAAGAAGATTACAAGAATTCTTATACGTTTGTATGATTTCATTTCCTCTTGACACGTTTTCCTTAGAACTCAAGGCAGGCCTCTTTCCAATGACTACGCTGTCTCTAGTAGTTTCCTCCACCTTCAATCCCCCAGAAAATCGATGACGTTCTTGAGTATCTTTGTTGAGTGGAGTGGAGTTTAAAATCATGTCATTGAGCTTTGAGTTGTTCATGGGATTATTCCTTGTACTAGTACAGTTTTCGAGTTCCTTATCGTTTTCAAAATGCGGTGCATCTCTTTTTTCAAGGACGGTGAGAGGATGATCCTTTCCATAAGTATCTTGAATTCTTTTATGACCCGTGTCGTTGAATGATGAAGAAGCCCCAATCGCCAGGTGACTTTTTGTTCTCGAAGATGCATATGGGCATGCAATGGCCCAGTGATCAAGCTGCATACAAACAATGCAGAAGCAAGATGATCCTTCTGTGACATTGTACGACTTTATGTGCTTCAAGAGATCCCTTGATTTAAATAGTTCAGAGCACTGATGCAAGGAATGGCCTTTAATACCACAATAAAAGCAGGTAAGATTAACAGGACTCCCCAAATCTTTAGCTTTCAAAGGATCCATATTTTTGAGAGCCTCCCATTTACAAGTCTTAACAGAGAGTGTTTCCTCAGAATTATCAAGCACCTTCTGCCTTCTCTCTTGAGAATTGCAACAATCATAATGCTCTGAGCTTCGAGAATGATGGTCTGAACTAGTTTGAAACTCTGTATCATTAACTTTCGCAAGTTTTTCTAACAGACATTTGCTTATGATGTTGGGACAACAACTCTGTCTCCCTTTATAGACGTCACCCATTTGGCTATCCATGGATGTCAATTGGTCACCAATTGTGTTTTTATGTGTAATGGAAGCATCATGGCAATCCGGAGAAGAAATTGAGGCTTTTTCACACTTCTGAGGTCTTTCAATGGGTTTGCTCTCCAATGCATCTGATTTGATCAGAGATGATTTTGAAGAGAATCGAGAGAGCCACATATTCCCGAATAGGTTACTTTTATTGGATAATAAATTCGAAGAGCTTCTTGGCTTCTCCAAAACTGATTGAGGTTCCATTGCCGCTCCAGATTCAAACCCAAAATTCTGTGGTGATGAACTTGAAGGATTCAAATTAGCTTGTTCATAATGAAGTTGGTCTTTCCATATATTCATTCTTCTCTTTACTATGTCATCTTTGGACTTTTTTGCAGCAGAATCATTAGCACCCAAATGGTAGACTTGCCTATTGGGCCTTTCATTTGATGCAGGGACTAAAGCTCCCTTATTATTTTTAAAGTCACCTAAGGCTGGACTAGACACATCCTTATTGAATCGACCCTTGCTAGCAATCTCAGGCTCCAATAACTTTCCAGCCCCATTATGGTGCTCAATATTTGTCACATTCTCATTCGGGCAATATCTGGCATGAAATAGTGTTTGAAAATTCAGCCTTGTGCACCCCTCGTCGTCCGTCATATTCTTTGAGACTACGAGAGACTTACTATGCCCATTGCTATCATGAAATGGGTTAGTGAAATTTTCAGAAGCAGACGAGTCATCCTGACGAACTTTGGGGAATCCCTTAATAAGGTTTGAAATCCAAATCACAAAAGAATTGCCTTGTCTAATAGCAGATAAAGGGCAAGGAGTTTCTATGTCAAGCTTCCGAATCTTTCCATTCTCTACAAGTGAGTTTTGTTCAAAGAATCTCTCTCTCTTTCCTTTCACAAGCAAGTTCCCACTATCACTGCTTTTAACACTTTCATGGAAGTTATCCTCCTTCCTCAAAGCAAGACTATTGAGTTCCACATTAGTAAAATCATTTCCTTCTACTTCCGCTTCTATATTATTAACCCTGCAATCATCATCATTAACCCCAACATCTATATCATCTTCCAAGGGCAATCCATCTTGAACATCATTTTCATCAGGAGAAGACATAGCTTCTGATAGAGGTACCGATTTTATCTTCCTGGTGTCTTCATAAATAATAGAAGTCATTTCTGTCTCCTTGAAGTTTTGGGTTCTCAAGTATGGGACTAAATCCTTTGGGTGATACTCAGAACCTTCAGCTATGGCAGCTTCAGAGGCAAATGTCCTAGGTAAATCAACCAAAGATACACTATGCGGATTTCCAACATTTTTCCCTTTGGTGAAGGGCTCAGAGCCTGTTCCTTTACTATGATCAGTGTGTTCATGCTTTTGTAGTGCTAAATTAAACCCCAATTCTTCTGCATGAAGAGCCAAAGAATTCAGATTTCTATCAACCTTTGCAGGGTACATGAGATATAGCAGTTGATTTTGCAAGCAAGGAAAATAACATATACTCCAAAGGAATGTGAAAAAGCGTAGTCCATTGGTGTCATGACTGACTGAATGAAATGATGGATGGTGATGAGGAGTGTGAAACCAACCATTGGGGGTCGTGTCCCAGTCTGGTGAGTCTCACTCCCTCTCCATCATCATCCATCATTTCAATCAGATGGTCATAACTCCAATGGACCACGGTTGTCCATAGATCATTGCTTTGTTGTAAACATTGCGACAAAACAAAGGCTAATAGTCGTCCACTTACCTTGCACATTATCCTTGTCACGTAAGGATCGAATGGGATCTTCTCTATTCTTAACTGACTTCATACCTGAAATATCATCATTTGTTTGAGTGGTTATTAGAGAATTAACAGCCTTGCCCTCAGATTGATGTTCACGACGACTAGAATCAGAAGAAGAAACCTTTGCCAACAAGCACGATTTTCCTAACAAGTCAGGAGCTAAACAATCAAACTACACATATCTCAAGGTGAACACTCTCTTTTTCTAACAAGCAAATGGGTCTTTGGGGATTAAAAAGAAACAATAACAAAGCCCCGGTTTCACAAAGAAGATTTTACTCATTCTACCATTGTTCATTGGTTCCAATGGCTCCTTACAAAATCATTACCTTTTGTCTGGTCCCCTTCATCATTTTCAAACTGGCAAACCGGCATACACTTCCCCAGTTCACCACTTTGTGGTTGAGAGATAACTGCTTTTCCAGATTCTGAATTGCACTCATTGTTAGAAAGATCAAATGGTATTTTCTGACTGAAACTACAATTAGCACACCTAAGTTTGAGACCTATTTCAGGAGACCACACCAGTTCAGAGAGTGGGTCGGTGGGAGTTAAGATAATGCCTTCTCCTGAACCTGCATTTGCACCTGCACCAGAACTTAGGCTAAGTCCTCTCCTTTTGCACTGATGAGTAGGGTCCAATACATGTCCCAACTCTGTGGCTTCAAAACAGTTGGACTTCCTCCTCGGTGAGATGGATCCATCAGAGGAATATCCTGAAATACCAACAAAATCTAGTGCAGCGTCCATGGTTTCACATAGATATCCTACATAAAGGAGAGTCCGTTAACATATGCTTCCTACTTGTAATATGATTACACTTAAGACTTCTTGAAAGAGATTGCACTGCAAGCAAAAGTCAGTGAGACAATTTCCTAAAGATCAAGGGGTTGCTGAGCTAAATAAAATGGCATCGGTAGAAACAAAAAGATTGAATAACCAATAATAGTTCTACTGCAATTCAAGAAGGATAAACATACTCTAATGCATGTGAGATATGAGGCATCCACACTAATAGATCCCACTTGAAGCTTACATAGATTTGGGCTAATGAGGTACACAGCAGCAGAAGTTACGCTTTTTGAACTAACCAAAAAACCAATAAGAAAACAGGATCACATGTTGATTTGCATGAGTTTAGCATGAGTACGCTTCTAAGGACATCACCCTTTTGGAACAAACTAAAGAAAAATGCAAACTGTATGTCAAAAGATGTCCTCAAAATGAAGTCAAAGCATACTAGTTACATTAAGACATCTCTTTTTTTTTTGTTGGCTAAATCACATATTAAGGCATCTGAATACAAAAACACACATGTATATAAGGCACCGAATTGTAGTGACTGCTTGAGACACAGATAGTTTCAAGCAATGCAGCAGAATTCAGTGCCTATGCACATGTATTTATAGAAGCACACCATAATTCCTCAAAATATGTAGAAATTTGCCCCCAATTATTCAAATGAGCCTCTTTAGAAGTTAGTTATCAAGGCACATGCCCTGATCTCTATAATTTTCATTTCTCATCTCAAAGATCTTATGAGATGCAAAAGTCCTCTTCCTTCCACAGATGCCTCATCCTTGGCTTCCATCTATCCCTCCACTAAATTTTAAATTAGATCAAACATTTTCTATTAAACTCAATGGTGAGAGCCAAATTTGGGTACCAGTGATCTGACTGCATCTCGAAGATTGGAACTTTTGGATTTCTTTTTAGTGCTGATCTTTAAAAGCCTAAGATAATCCAAAATTTTGAAAGTGGACGACCGAGAATCAGCTGTTGGCAGGGTAATCTAACACACTTGATCCCTCTATTTGCGAAACCATGATCCAGATGTCTAGTGTAAAGTAGGATGTGGTTCATACTTCTGAGATGCACGGTAAGAAATGACTCCTGAATTTTTAGCTCAAGCACTAACTTAAGAAGAACCAAATAGAGACCCTCTATCTGCCTATTGTAGCAAACTTAATGTCATCAGATCTAGAGTATAATCAATGAGTTTAATTTTTGAAAACAGTGTATCAGAGATTATGCCTATAGGCAAAAAGATAAAAAAAAAGCGGAAGGGGGGTATTTAAATTCCATGCAACGCTTTGCGTTCCCGTTTTGTGTCCTGTTTTGTGCAGTCACCAAAGACTGTTACCACTCACCTTTGATCCCTCACTAGAGTAGTTGCTTCTTACATTAATGGGAAGAAGCATTAAGCAATTATGGTCCGAGTTGCTACTCCCACTTAGCCTAAGCAACATCTAAGTATCAAAACTGCTCAAGCCAAAGCAGAGATATCCATTTCACAATATATTTATGCAATCAACGTGCCGAGAAAGTTGGGTATTTTATTGAATTGGATCAGAAACTCTCGTGAAATCAAATCTTGAACTCAGAATTACATTGGAGATCTATTGGGTGATTCGAATCGATACAACAGGCTGGTTGAAAATTTGACAGAACTCACTAACAAACTCTGAAATATTGCATATAGCTTGGAGTTCTAAGCAGATAAGTGGTCAATCTAAAAATCCACATATGGGTGTTCCTCAAAGGGCTTCTCAGAGCAATTTAAGTCTCAAGTCTTCCTTCCCAAGAGAAAACACTCTCAATTCCTTCAAAATTCATCCTGTAACTAAGTGAACAGATTTTAGAGAACTCTCTCTCTCTCTCTCCCTCAAAACTAGAAACCCAACAACAAATTCAGTAAATTCAGCTCCCCCAAGTTTCAGAAACACCAGAACTTGGCAAGCCATCTTTTTTGAACATGGCCAGCTCTCAACTAAACCAGTAGCAAAAAAACCCATTAACCCATTTCCTCATAACAAAAACTCCATGACTTCTTGAAATCGCATAAATCATAAAACTTCAAACTGCAAACAAACCAACTAAAAAAGAAGAAGAAGAAGAAGAAGAAGAACACATACCTCATTACTTGCATACTCCATAGCCTTTCCTCTCCATCTCCACATCAAACTTAAAACTTAATTCTCATACTTCTATGATGCTAAAAGTAGAAAGTAGAAAGTCGAAAAGGTGTCTTCTCACAATAACTGGAAGCAGATTATGGTTCAAGATTAGCAGACTGCCAATAGTCCAGCAAAAATTTTGGTCCCCATTTATTTCATTTTTTCCATTTTTGCACACGTATGTTATATCAGAGGTGCAGAACCCGCCACCTGGCGACACATGTGCCAGTAGCTGATGTAAAGAATTTCAAGAAAATCCATATATGTATGAAAATGTAAATTTTATTGGGAAAAAGCATATTTTTATTGGAATTATCAAAGTACAGAATTTACGCTAGAGTCAATCCACATCATCATTTATCACTCCACTTGTAGTACGACCACTCCCAAAACCCAATCTCTCTATCTAGGAACTTGCAAAGTCCAAAGCTAGAGCCCCCTAAATTTCGTTAAGTGTCGGCAACATTTCGGTTTTGGCCTAGACCCAATTTCAAAAATTTCAGTGAATTTTGGGCTGTTTCATTTTCATCAAGATTCCATCAGTAAATTTTGGCGAATTATCATTTTGATCAAGATTTCATCGGTAAATTTTGGCGAATTTTATTGAACACGGAACCACTTTCAAATCTTAGGAATTTTTGGTCCATGGGTGTGGCTTAGAAGTTCCAATTTTAGCAATAATCTATAATAGTCATATAAGAATGGGATGGACATATTTGTTGATATATTCCACTTTGAACACATTTAATTTGTCGTTTCTCTTTTTTTGGATAGTTGTAGGAATCGACTTTGAGATGTTGATGTGAAATTAAATGATAACCACTCGGCCCAAGCCAATTCCTATATATTAATTCATCGACATATAAAATCCCGACGGCTAAAAGTGGATAATTAATTGATATAGACACACTTCAAACATCTAATTTTTCATATAACCGATTGTAGAGTTTCCACAAGAATAAAATGGCACAACCCAGCCATCCAATTTTGCGCATGAAAGGTCAAGGTGTTAACAAGCTCCTATAAAGGTATCACACGCACCCAATATTTTTAAACCCAGATTACCCTACTGAATTGACTACCTAGTAAACCGGTTTGGATAGGATAATTGTCGATCTGGATTGGCGATCCCACTGATTCTCCTGAGTGAGAATCGGTCAAAAAACAGTGAGAAAATAAAGAAGAAAATAATAAAGAATATAAATCGTATGCACTAGAAATCTAGATAACCCATTTCCCTACCAGAACTAGGCGGTTGCCTCAGGCGTAAGATCCGACCCGATTCCCATTATGACTAGGGACCAAGTCAGTTCGAATCAATTCCCAAACTAGATCAAGTGATTCTGATCCGAGTCTTTGTTTTTTAAAAACCTTGCTTGCACCACACATAACTAATGTGATTAAATCACTAAATGTTACTCTATTTTTGTTTTTGTTTTTTTTTAAAAGAAGAAACAAACATAAAACAAAATCAGTTGAATTTGTTAAAACTTTAAGGACGCGGTTAGCATGCGGACAGCCAGCATATTGTAGAAATGCGAGCTTGACAATAAATATATTTTTTAAATATAATTTGATCCTAGGTTTTAATGTGTATATAATCTTTAACATGGAGATTATGAATATAAAAGAAAAAATTAAAACCTAAAAATAATAATTATATTAAGAAAACATTTGGACTGGTAGTTACAATAGTTTTTAGATGGACCACCTATTTGCATCTATCTTTAAGATGGACACTCTAGACCTCTGGACCGCATATTGTAGAAATGCGGTCCAACCCCGCATGAAACAATTGTTCAAATTTTAAACCATGAGAAGTGCCGCCATCATCAAACTATATTTGACTTCCGATTACCACAATTAAGTAAAGAAAAAGATTTCTTAAGCTACTAGCTATAATGAATAGTATAAGCTACTAGTTTCTAACCATCAGATCTTCATCGTGTGGTTAAAAATTCATATCATTATTTTAATTTTAATTTTTTTTCTATAAATTAAATTAAGATGCAATTTTGGGTATATATACCGAACACTATTGTGCACCATATAAAAATATAAACAATTGCTTTCAATAACTTAAAATAAGCAAATTACCCCAATCAATTTTTAGAGGTATTTGGGTCATTTTATATTTTAAGAAATATTATATATATTATTACTGTGTGCCCTATTTTTCAATACACATGTCCAAAATTTCATTACGATATGATTTATAGAAAAAATATTAAAATTTAGATAGTGAAATGAATTTTGAACCACCCCGATGAAGATTTGACAGCCATGAGCTAGCAGCTTATACTATTCATTATAACTAGTAGTTTAGAAAATATTTTTCAATTAAGTAAATAGTTGTTATATTATTCATTATAGTTAGTAGCTTAGAAAATATTTTTCAATTAAGTAAATAGTTGGTTATTTAAGAGCTTTGCATATGCACACATTAATCAAGAGCACCAAATATTTACACGTTTTTCTTATTTTAAGTTTGCAATACTTTTTGGACCTATTATTTCTTACCTTGCTCTGAATATAAGTTGTAGGGCTTAGCAGAAAACAAACACACACACGCATACAAATAAAAAGTAAAAAAATTGCTGTTATTGCATTGTATATGATGCAACCAACCAGTTATGTTTACGTGGATGTAATGAGGAAAAAATGTAAATGTAATTGGTAGAACAATACAATGCCCAATATACCCAATGAACATATTATACATTTACTTCTCTGGGTAAAAGACCTATTTAGATGTATTTTCCCATTAAAAAAAAAATCTTGGGATCCATTTAGAATTATCAGATGAATATTTTCAATGAATCGTTGGGTTTTGAATTTCTAAAACACTTTGTTCTTTGCTCCATTCAATCTCAGAACGTCATCTCGTTCATGTGAATGCGTATACTTTTCTTTTTTTTAGGAGGTTAAATTCACACACTCTTGGGCCCTAAAAACATTACTACAAAGGGTTTTCACCCAAGGAGGCATAAATTTTATGTTTTAAATTGAAACATATTTTATTTTTTAATAAGAGTGAGGATTTTAAACTTTCTTTTAAACTGGCACAAACTCAAGTAAAGAAAGGTGGGTTGTAATAAATAGGCAACCAAAAAACAAACTTTGCCTTATCTTATCATAAATATCGAACATATATTATATGCTCATACTAGAGTGTTCTCTTAAGCAATGCGTTGTGACACCCAGCTGCGCTGCAACACCCAGGTAAGCAAGGGTTAGAAAGCGTTTAGAAAAGAATAGATGAACATAATTCATGTAGCTGACCCCAAATCATGGGGATAAGGCTTCGATGACTTTGATGAAATATATATTATTTATAAAAATATTTCATGATTTTCAATATTTTCCTTTTGTGCTACTTTCATGAATTTTCGTTTATATAAGCATTTAACTTTGGTTAGTACTTAGAGCCAGAATTTGAAGTTCTTTAAACCATTTCTCAAATTTTTCCTTTAAACCATTTCTCAAATTTTTAGGAGTAAACTTATCAAATTACTTGCAAGAGATGAACAATTTAACATGTTGACCATAGATTCTAATTTATTTTCAAAAATAAAAATACATGGAATGTAGTTGCAAATTGGCAAAGAGTTTACATCAGCTTTTAAGTGGTCCCTAATGACCCAATGCCACTTGAGTCCCATATAATAATGGATTGGGGTGGAGCCCAATTGGATAAATGCCTAACCATAGTATACACGTCTCTGTAGATATCAACGTATAAGGCCTTCTTCCATCGCATCAATTCGGGCAGTGTTGAGCTCATGTTTTACCTTTTACCTCTCACTCTCACACAGTTGTCAAATTTGGTTTGCTTGTGCCAAAAAAGCATAAGCCTTCGAATTTGAGGCCTAAAGCGTAGTGAAGCGAAGCTTGGTGCCAGCTTCGATCAGATTCGGGCAGTGTTGAGCTCATGTTTACCTCTCACTCTCTCACAGTTGTCAAATTTGGTTTGCTTGGGCCGAAAAAGCATAAGCCTTCGAATTTGAGGCCTAGAGCGAAGTGAAGCTTGGTGCCAGCTTCGATCAGATTCGGACTGCTTCTATCCACTTTGGTCAAAGTTCAAAGTCTCTCTCACACACACTCGAGTTATATGCGGATATTTCCAAGATAAGCAAGGTTTGATGTTATTTTAGTTTATTTCCACTACTGAAGAGACACAATGGGCGATCAGATAGCACTGTTAAAACACTTTTTTGAGAGAGTGACATTCCACTCCCATATGAGAGAGTGAGGGAAGGAAAAGTAATACGAACAGAACAATTAGAAAATTTATACTATGATCCATATGACTGTTGAATCTACAATCAAAGATGTCATCACTAATTGTTAATGGAAGGACCGTGACAATATATATAGATTGGGACCCACCAGACAGGGAATGACCCATGTAGGTCTCACTCTCATGCCGTAACAGTCCATCTATGGATTCGATTGTTATAGGCAATTGCGACCGTAGGCTCTAGTAGTCATGTGGATCACCGTACATTTTCCCCAAAGAAGGTTCACGGACACTAACAATTAAAGTATTGTACATAATGAGGCTATTGCATTGAGTTTCATGCACAAAAGTAACGAACACCTCGAGCCCTAAGCTGTAAAACCACATAGCTGGGGTGTGACATAATCAATACAAAGTTCAATTTTTTTTTCTCAAACTTGAAACGCAACCATTGATACACTCCAACAACCTAATTTTACATTTAATACCAAGAGGTGATTCTGACCTTTTTGTACCAAAAATAACCAGTTTTATTGTATATTTTTCTTAGTTTGAAAACCTAATTACAAACCAAGCTGTACTGCCACAAGAAATAGTTACCTCACAAAATTTCTCACCAGAGCAAAGTGAGAGCGCCCCATGTTCCATTTCCCCTAGTCATATCCGAAATTTTCCCATCTGACCTCTGGATCTGCCAAGTGCCAACTAGCAGTTATACGCTTTCCAAACTTACTCTCCATTGGAAGCTCCGAATACTCAGAAAATGGATCAATAATTTCTAAATGAATGGTTCATATTTTCTTGAACCAATGTTGCTCTTCCAATCGAGGCCTTCCATTAGAGGGATCAAAACCCCACCCTAGATAGATCCACCAATATGAGGTTACGTGGAGTTAAACATCAAAATGCTTTCAATATATACGTATACTAACTATGCGCACGAAATGAACTATGGCTGCTGACTCACTGAGTATTAGGTCTAGAAATAAATGAATATAGAAGTGCTGATAAATTGCAATGATGAATGGAGCATCTCACTACTTATGGAGGGCCAGATGATCTTGATGACAAAGGGTCTGAATTTCTCAGTTGTCATTATGTTGTTTTCCTTTGTTAAAAAAAAAAAAACTTCATAGTTGAGACAAAGGCAAAGTCAGAAGCCACAGAGAATTTATCATGATAAGTAATAAATATCTCATTAGACAGCAGATTTCTAGCAAAGGGCATCACAACCCAAGATGGTATAGAAAGAAGAATGCATTTTATGACATCAAGGAGCTCTCGTGGCACGAGAGAGACTAATTTCACAATTCAAACTCGCCTTTGATGCTTTTATGGTACCTTTGCTGTCCCAACTGCTTAGGAACATAAAAGATAGATCGAAGTTACACATTTTGTAAGAAATTGTAGATGAGAGAAACCAATTGGTTGGTTGCTTACAAGATTTCAAGCTTCCTCAAATATTATGAACATGTGGAGAGAGAAAAATGGCCGTTTGGTTACTTTCTAGCAAGTCTTCGAGCCGCTCCAAATAGCAATGCCTTACCCACAACACCAGTGTGGAGTCCACAAACAAGAGCCACAGTTCCACATATAAAGACCAATTTCCAGGGGACGCCATGATTTTCCTTCATCAGTTCTGAAACTTGACTCTTCTCTTCGGTTAAAGACTGGTCTGCTAAGGAGTTTGAGAACCAGCCCATGGGGATTGATGTGTTTATCCGAGCTAGCGTTGCGGTTCTAGAGAGAGAAGCCCCTGATTTTCTAGCAAGCTGGTAAGCACGCATGCCCGAATGCAATTTCTTGACGGCTCCCCACATGCCATGGCGGACTCCAACTTTGGCCACATCCTTGGGGATGCCCATATCTTCATAATGGACAAGTGTGACCTCACAGGCTGATAGTTGGCCATCGCCTTTACGAGATTCCACTGCAATCATATTGGACAATACAAGATCATTTACTTGTCGAAAGAAAATCTTTTAGAATCCATCTTTTCCATAAGTGCAAAACACATTGAACACATTGTGAAACAGAATCAGCTTCTCTTGTCCTTAAACATTTTTCAGGGGTGATATAGTCATAGACGATTGAAAGTTGATTTGCACACGCATGTTCAAACATACCAGCTCTGATACGCCAGCTTGAATAATAGAGATCGACACGCCTCGGCTTGTCACGCTTTGGCAGTGCTGGATACGGTACCCCCTGCCAGAAGATGTTGAGATTCAAGATATCATGGCTATCGTTGTGCGATATCAATGAGAAAACGAAAAGTTCGTCGCAGCTAAACCAATGCAAATGAATGAATGATATAGGTAAGGTAAGAGCAGCGCAAAAGACAGACAGATATTATGCAACTTGTTAATTACCTACAAGGATTTCTCTGTTTTGGTAGGTAATTGCCTACAACATTTGCTAAGCTCCTATGACAAAAAGCAACAATATGAAGTATTGTCTTACAAATACATAGCAGCAAGGCATAAACAATGAAATAATTAGGATATGAACTCAATTCAAAACAATGATTCAGAACTTTTACAGAGGATGCAAGTGCAGAAATTCAGCCATAAAAAATATCAATCTCATATGATGCAGATAGAATAGTTTTCCATCTTTGCAAATTTTATTCAACACGTAAAAAGATTGTTATAGTTTCCTAGCTTTGTCATTTGATCTAATTCAGCACATTAGGTCTTGACAGTCATTTTCAGTAACTAAGCTTCTTGGACTTTCTTATAAAGAAAAAACATTCTTGGAATAAAGCATTTTTATTGTTATAAAGCTTTTTTATTGTCATAAAATATTGATGAGAGAACATCAGGGGAAAAAAATAGACAAAAAAATTGAAAAGAGAATTCTGAAGAAAGAAGCAATAGCATAAAATGAGCCATGAAACTAAAGCAAAAAAGGACAAAAAAATATGCTAAAAGTTCAGTACATTATTCTGAAATGCTGTCTAGGGAATCTTGCAAAGTCATTCACGGAAATTCCTGAAATATCTAGGGCATCTTTCAAAATTTTGAACATATCCTTGCAACAAAAAATCAATAGGATGTAGGCTTACAACGATACAAAAAAGAAGAATTGGAAGCAAGTTTGAAGGTAACATACAGGAGGAAAAGGCCATGAACCAATATAAAAAGTTACAACCAACAATTAGATGGCAAACCTGCTCAAATCTACTTCAGATGTTAAACTCTCATTTAATGAAAGATCTACTAGGAGACATCATGATATTATTAGGAAACATCTCATATTTTTTCAAATTCTAAGTAGTGCAGATGTCCATGATAGACCATTCTCTTCAAGAATGCTTCATTCATTCTTCTTTCAAGACATAAAAAGCTGGGGCCAATATTGACTACTGGACATTTTACAACATTCTTTTTTTTTTGGTTCATCTCATTGGTGAGCATGTGACTAGAATCTGCACTCATGGGTTTATGCCTATGCTCCAAACGATTAGGCTACATGATTAACAAAGCTCTGATTCATCATCATCATCATTTTAACCTTTTTCCAATTAATTGGGGTCGGCTATTAGCAAAGCTCTGATTCCTAAGCCCAAACACCAATATAATATTAGTGCCAATCGAGCTTGTAAAACTAGGATCGGGAAATAAGATCGATCGTCATCATCATCATCCAAATCTTATCTCAATTATTTGGGGTCGGTTTCAGAATTTATTAAGATGCGGCAAAGTTTTACACTGGCTGCCTACCTAACGCAACCAACCTCCTTTTCCCAGGCTTGGGACGGGGTTAAGGGAAAGTTTAAAGTCCTCACCCTTATGGAACCATTGCGAAATAAGATAAAAATGAACTAAAAAGTGTAACCCACATAATTCTATGCACAAATATGTCCCTTTCATTGCAGAAGAAGTTCTTGGAACTATAGAAGCAAGAGGATCACAGCTACATCAACCAACATACAAGTGCATGATGCCAAGACATTACCTGTAGACTCTATGTTCTCTCCAATAGGCTCCAAACTGATTAAATTATCCAGATCGCAGCCACAAATGGAGAAAATGAACAATGTCACCTGTAGCTCTTCTTCAAACCCATCATCTCAATACAGAATAAACCTAAAATTCACCAAAACTCATGAAATCTAAAACCAAGGAGAGACTGGGGATGAAGTTCCAATTCCATTGTGGGTTAAAAAAAAGTGGCCCCCATTGCATTTCGTTAAGAATAAATACGCATTGTGTTTATTAGCCCTCACAAGGTTTCAATCATGACGCCCCATAGCGAGGCAAGAGAAATATAAAGACCAGTAAGAAGTATCATGACTATGGCCACGCCATTATTTGCAAAACCGAGCAACCCGTACAGAACATATCGATCTTCCTATGCCCATAGCTGCTTAGCCTTTCAAACCATACAGGATCGGTATTCTTCTTCAATTGTGCCACTAAACTTTTCAATTTGTAAACATTTCACTTGTATGGAACTCACGCATGGGGTTTGTTTGCTCATTTTCGAATGGAACTCCTCTCTCAAGTCCTCAACCTTTGCTTGCAGCCTTTTTTATCAGATCAATGTTTGTACTACTAGTTGTGGTTGGACAGTCTGAAATTTTTAATGCAACTTAATTCATTTTATTTTCTAATTTCATCTGTTTCTCTAGCAAATAAGACTATTCTAAGTTTTCTAACACAGTTTCATGTCACTATTCTTCCTGATGCTAACCCAACTTGTTCATTTTCTGTTCAAAGGAGTCCTGCAGGCATAAGGTAGTGACAGCTCCCAATATTCCTTTCAAACAATTGAGCCATAAAATGCTTACAAACTAAACAGATGAGAATTAGAAATGCAGAAACAAATGCAATTCAATTGGCTTCCAACTAATAATCTTCATTCAACTTATTCATGACAGCACCAGAAACAAGGACAAATTACCCCATTCCCATCAATATGATCAAATTAAACCAAGATATTCGCAATCCTATCCTGAGTTAATAAGATGTCACTTCTTTTGTCATATAGAACTCGCTTACCCAAATTCTGTTTTACTTGGATCCTAAAGTCCCATGATTTTATGAAGATACAATAGCTAGGTAAATGTCCTCTAAAATCTAAAAAATTTGCCACTAAGGCATGACCATATAAAAGACAGCCATGATTTGATAGTGCGTAGCTCTCCAACTTCTGAGGAATTACAGAAGTTTAGGTTATTTATATGTCATGATTTGATTCTGAACAAGGGAAACTAATGCATGATTGCACGAGTCTTCAGGGCAAAGGTTAAGATTGAATTGATTCCCTAGAAGAAAAAATTGCTTACATTTACTTCAAATGGAAAATGACAGTAATTGATACCAAATTTTAGAGATTAAAAGCAATATCCAACAGTCAATTCCACGTTTGCAAGGCATTTTAGGACAATTTTTGGTAAAAAGAGTCCACAGAGCACGGATCACCAGCAGCTTTGAGTTTTCAATCGCAAAGAAGAAAACCCAGTGGGAGAAACTAGAGAAACAGCTTCTACTATTTTCTTAATAAGACTTCTTAATTACCTTTGTCACGCAATAGTATGTTCTTCCACATTCCCATATCCGGCGACCAATTATATATTCTCGATCACTGCAGAAAAAAGGGAACTGATAACAGAAGAAAGCAAATTCAGTTGCAGTTTCCAATCAAATAAAATGATGGTATAATGAACCAGAAGAGAGATTAGAAAGGCAAATGAATAACAGATCAATTGTTCAATACAAAAACCTTCTTTATCCAGTGAACAATCATGGTCCCTGTGAGAGGGCACTCCTCTAAAATCTTAAAATAGGAGAGCATAGGATCCCATTTTGGCCGGAAGTCATCATCCCAAAAGAAGTCTCTAACCAGTTCTGGTGCTGCATCCTCAAAAACAGTTCTACTGCGGTATTCTGTGGGACCCACCTAGGAAAAGACCACAATATGAATTCACAATTTTTCTATCATGTATTATGTATCATCTTATAAGTTTGGCAAAGATAAAATGAAATACCAACAACTCTGATCTTTTCAAAACAAATTGCTAGTTGAAATTTAGCTTAATACAACATTTTGGACAGAGAAGGGTTTTATAACCAAAATGAGCTGAAACTTGGAAGGTAGATCTACACAAACATAGCATTTGAAAGAGTAAACTAATAAATGAAAACTACTTTTCCTTCACAGCCAAATTCAGGGGATAGCGTAAGCCACCTTACAAATGTATGAAGAGTAATATCTACCTCAGGTTCATGACGCCAAGCTTGGTATGTCATGTTCGGAGTGGAGTGTTCCATGAAACTTTGCCATGTTGTTTCTCCATCCTTACCTTCTAGAAGATGTACCAGATACTCCAAATCCTTTTCATTAACAACAGGCTCTTCACGAATAGAACCATGCACTGTATCACTGTGGAAAGTTTCAATACAATTACAACTCTGTCAGTCTGCTACAGATCTTATAAAAACATAATTTGTCAAACAGAAGACCCGATACTATATATCCATTTTTAAATTATTTGGGTTCATAGATAGACAAAAATGAAAGCAGGTTGTATTACTAAGCAAACACTTTTTTCCTTTTTGTAATCAAACATTTATAGTTATCATAGTACAAGTGGCTCATTTTCTTTCTTCTTTTTGATAGAACAAGAAATCAATAGGATCTCCAATACAATGTCCATAACCCCGCAAGGTTTAGTGTATGTTTCAGTGGTGCATTTGTCAACATTGAAAGAGTCCTCCATTACAATCAAGGGGCTACAGATCAGTATTACATGGGCACGGGTGTCATGTCTTTAAGTGTCGAGAACTTCAACCTAAAAACTTAGTATGACCCTGATACATCCGTACATATATATATATATATATATATATATATATGGACAAGCTTTCTATGCTTCCCCTACAGCATAGAAGTTCTATCCTCCCCCTTATCCAACCATCCATTCTGAATGAAGGGCTAAGATTCCCCAATCACAATGTCACATCTCTACACTATTTTATTTTTAATTTTTTTCTATAAACTATTTTGACACCAAATTTTGGACGTCCATTCCTCTATTAAACTTGCACTAGCGAAAACTATATAAAAAAACAAAATTCAATAAAATAAAATGATCAAAGTACCCTTGAAAGTTTCAATGGTATTTTGGTCATTATATTTTATCAAAAAATTATTTTTAATATTTTTTATAGGTGTGCCCCTAATGAGAAGATGGCACGTACCAAATTTCACATTCATACAATTTGTATAAAAAAAGTTAAAAATAAAATACTTTGAGATGTCAGATCTAAGATCAAACGGTGACTGGCTCTCTTGATCAAAATTGGATGGCTGGATGGTAGGGGAAGCATAGAAACCTTTCCCTATATATATATATATATATATATATGGTGCGGTTTGTATAGAGCTTAGGCTCTAAACAATAAAATTAGAGCCTAGGATCAAATAGTATCGAGAAATGTGGTTTCAATACTGAAAATCTTTGTGATAGCCTTAAAATATATTTTCATAATTATTTATAAAGCTTAAAGCTTCAAAAATGGTGTAGATCAACAAATCTATGAAAACTTG